TTACTTGTATAAAATTTAAATTTGTTTACTTAATAATTTAAATTTAAACAAATAATAATTATATATCCATATCAATCATATAATACTAAACTCTTATTGTTATTAAGACATACTATTATTAATATTATTATTATTAGTGGAAGAACATTTAATAAAACAAAAAAAGCGAAATTTATATGCTAAAATATACCACTGAATTAATTTTACAATTTGACTTTAAAATATATAGCAATTGTTGTTGACTTAGTAACAAAATTATTACTACCAGTAACTGCAGATGAGAAAATCCGGAAAATTAATTCCAATTCTGTACAATTCTGTACTATAAGAATCTCTGAAGAGACATCAAATTAGATTTCGCGAATGAACTTCACGAAAAGCGACGAATAATTCTCCATGATAAAAATAACTTTGACTTTTCATCGATACAAATCATGTAATCACTGATATCCATCGAGAGACATCGATATGAGGCCTTTGCATATAATGAATTGTTCACTAAAATATATATGTAATTTTATAATGTTAAAAATGTAAATATCGAAAAGCAAGTAAGAGTTAATATTTAGTCATTGCCGCAATCAAAGCTCCAATCTTTATTTATTTCAATAAATTTGTACTAAATACGAAGAAAAAAAATGACGATTATTCTAAATATTGAATTTTTAATAAGAAGTTACTTAAAATTATTAACTTTTTGATATACAAAATAAAATCTAAATAAAAAAAGAGTTTCAAAATTAAATATTTATCAAACTTATTAAATCATTAAACAATTTTTGTTATTATATGTTTCGTCGATTTCGTCGTAATTTATAATCATCAATTACGCAACAATTTGGTTTATTACGACAAGATAAATGCTATTTGTATTGAATAAATATTCAATACGGATATATATTTTCCAATAAATGTATAATTAATTACTAATCCGGGAAAAATGTTTTACATATAATTATATATAATTATATAAAATTATACATAATCATATAAAAAATTGATATTTTATATACAATTATATATCATTATATAGAAAATATGTCCATATATATAACATTTTTTTCCCGAGAATTGTTGTGCAAATTACAAAAGTAAGTATGATTATTCAAGCATTCATCTGGACATTTTACATAGATTTTATATTACGTACCTAATATTATTTTAAATACATTTATTTATAATACAATAAAGTTAATTACAGTATTAATGCGTTACATAATTTGTACGAGTATCTAGAATTTTACAAAAAAGTTGAATTTTAGGATAGCTGAAAATTTAATAAAATTTGAAATTAATTTGGTTTATTTTCATATTTGATAACAGAATAAATGGAATGGAATAAATGGAATGCTGATAATTAAAAATAAAATTTAAAATTAATTTAAAATTTTATTCAATTTTTAATCTTTCATTTCCAATTATCAAATATGTATATATGACGTATTTAGTCCTACCTGTCTATACTTATCATCCTACCTATATAGTCCCTACTTACTGTCCATATTTATTGTCCTATCCATATTTTTATTTATTCGTATCTATTCGCGGATACCTATCTTCGGTGTATTTCTACCTACATTACTTTATAAATATGCAATAACATCGCGAATATAATACGTTAATGGCTGTGTTCAGAGAAAATTTTCGACTGTTGTAAAATTCTTCTATGTAATTGGTTTGTACATTTTAATACATAAGGAACCAAAAGTAAGAACAAATCGCATTGAAGAATTGAAAATAATAAAACAATATTTATTAAACTGTAATAATCACTTTTCTATATAATGTATCCATAGACAATTTCATATACTCATAATTATTATTTTATATATTCTTTATATTTTTTAATTTTCCGTATTTCATATATTTCAAAAATACGAATACTTTATTCTTTTTAACTTCCAAGATGTATTATTTTACTACAGATATATTATAACTATTTTTTATTATACTTTTGAGATGAAATTACTTAATAACAAAACGTTCACATTAACATGTATGAATTTACAATTAGTACACAAAATTTGAGCTAAATTTAATAATAATTAGAAATAATTCGAATAAAAAATTTTCCATAAATGCATAAATATGTATAAATATGTATAATCATATGCGAAATACATCCATACATATTCATACATCTCTTTTTCTTTTGTAAAGTTACTCTTTAAAGTTATTTTTTAGTATAGTAAAAATAATAATAGTAAAACATTAAAAATAATTAAAGAGTTAATTTTTGCATTGTTCGTTACAGAAAAAAAATAAGTTTGAAAAAAATGTAAAAAAATCGCTCATACACAATTATGCATAATTTTATATATAATTATACATAAGTAATTATTTTACATTTTTCAAACACGATTTTTTCTAAAACAAATAGTACAAAACCCTTTTAATTATTTTTAATGTTTCACATTACATTATTATTATTTTTATCACACTAAAAAATAATTTTACAAAAGAAAGAGGGACATGGGAGAGGGATGTATGGACATCATATTTCATATATGATTATACATGTTTATGGATAATGTATATTATGTATACATTATGTATACATTATGTATATTATACATATATATATATATATATATATATATATATATATATATTCACGCATGAAGAATTTTTTACTGAGTGGGTATAATGACGTTATAAATTTTACAGTGCATGTACAATAAATTTTCTATAATAATATTCTATAATAATATATCCAGGATTAAGTTTATCCCAATCTGTTATTACTTATCCATTCTAAGGCAACGGATGTATGGAATGCTATGTATACAGTATATTTTTAATAAATTTATGCATATGCATCTATAGATATATAGTAATTAATAATATTATTACACATCCGTTACCCCAATAAAAATATTAATTTATCACTTACCAATCCGATGCGCAACAGCGGAGTTATATCAACAAAGTCACTACGATGATTCTGTAACAAAAAGAATATAGAATTTATTTACACTTCAGCATATACAAGCCAAGAAGAGACTTGGTTTACAGAAATTCTTAATTCATTCACACTTGCGTTTCTCTCCCGCCTTTATCTTACCACTACAAACCTAAACTATTATTATATATTCTCTAAAAGAATATAAAATCCAAATTCAAACAGAGTAAAAAAAAATCAACCAATATTTCAAAAAATATTTAATAAATGCAAAGTTTTTTTGAAAATAAAATTTTATAATATTCAAAATATATAATTATTATAATTATTATAAGCGAATTTTTTAATTCACTATTCAGTTATATTTAAAAATAATTATATATTTTCTTAAAAATACATATTTATAAAATTTTAAAATAATTTAAAAATAAGCCTTTCTAATTATCATTTTTAAATTATTTAAATGAAACTACTCAAGAATAAATTTAACGGAAGAAAGATATTGATGTTATATAATAAAAAATAATATTTACCACAAAAATAATATTTGTTCCGCCGGTGCCTGATGTCTCCTTCTCCTCCTTTCAGAACAGGATTGATATCCTCTCGCACAAGACACTCGCGTAAAACACTTGCGAATAATGTATTATATATAATCGCGCGCGGACAATAACTTGAGTCCGATAAGTTGAACGGCACTCCCGAAGCAAAACGCGCGATGCGACGAACCGGTTATGGTTCGTTCATTTTCAACTAAATCGGCGATGAGAGTACGTTAGCTTCCCCATTGAATTTTTACACAAAGAGAACGATTTTACTCAATATCTAAAAATTTATTTAGATATATCATTCGGATAGATCCGAAAAATTTTAGATACTTAAGAAAAAGTGTTCTTTTCGGGTAAATATCCTCTGGGTAGTAAGTCCTCCCACCACGTCAACATGTACTCGTGAGAGGGAAGATAATCGGAAAAATGTAATATATAGCTACTATCTGTACTATGAAATTACTATGCAATCGGTTAATTTTTAGAAACAAATACCAAACACACGTCTGCAATTCATTATCATTGCGAAATAAATTCAGAGCAGATAAAAATCTCATCGCGAGGAATGCCAAATATAATATGAAACGTTGTGTAAAACTTAATGAATAATTAATCATACTAGTAATCGTATGTGAATATTCATAAAATACAACATTTAATATTATATTCACCATTTTTTTGCGATTATTATATGTTTCAAAAAGAAATGTGAAGAAGAACGGTACGCAACACGATTATTTGTCTTTACGAACGATATCACACGAGTCATAAAAAAAAGCAACGTTAATAAATATTTTTTAATAATTAAATATGCGATAATATTAATAATTAAATAAACGAACAATTGGAACGCAACTTGTGTCGCCATGTGCATGAACTCGAAAGTGTCTAGGGATTATTGCAAATGGAAAGCAGTCACTACATTGCACCCCAGTGATCTCAGTGCAAACAGTGCAGCTACAAAGAACAAACATCGAGTTGAACGAGTCCTCTCGAACTCGGACTCTTCTCAAAAGATCAATGTTATTATAACATGTTCCAACATCTTGTTTTTATAGTTTTTATATTGATCGCTGCGAGAATGTGAAATGTGAGAGAAATTGCCGTGACAGAATTACGCGGATAAACGTGGACTTATTAGTGAAAATCATAGTGTGCGGAAAATAGCGAAAATGCAAGAGCCGCGATATATCGCGAATGCGTGTCAGGAGTATCAGGATGAATTTTATACTGCTGCTGCGAAATATTGGGATCGCATCCCGCCAACAGTGGATGGGATGCTGGGAGGCTTCGGATTTATTTCGCAGACTGACATAAAGGGCTCTACACTCTTCTTAAAATCTCTCTTCGAGGTATGTATTATTATAGTCTAACCTATTACCAATTTTTTTATCAAAGATTCAAATGTGCATGTTTGATAAAAAAAATTGATAATTATTTAAAAGACGCCTTACAATTTAAATAAAATTGTGCTCATTCGACGCGTTTTTGCATGAAAGAATCCGGCAGTAAAATGTGCTCAATCCAGAGCATGCTTTGATCCGGATAATCCGTATGCGCATGCGTTTAAGTATTTTTCACTGTTTATTTGCTGCTTTAAAAATACGAATTCTTTGGATAATTGTCTAGAAAATGCTCCTCATCTTCAATTTCAATGAAATTATGATCATTCGACACATTTTTGCTAACATAATCTGGCTATAAAATGTGCTCAGTCCTGCAAAACGAAATATTAATCATTAGAAGTTGATCACTTTTGGATATGAAACCTATATAATATTGATCTAATCAATTTAATATTTATAATGAACTGCACCTGTACTGGGTATTAATGTATGCATGCTAGATTCCGAAACGATTAGACAGATCTTTATGCAAGGTAGAAGGAGAGTGTATATTGAATATGTGTATTAAATATTCATACTAAATGAATGAGTTTAAAATGTACTAAAAAAAAAAATAGATTCGGGAAAGATTAAACCGATTCCTATGCAAGATTTCTCTTATTATATTAATTTTGCATGAAACACATTTTATTTTTATTTGTAATTGAAACAATTGAAACAAATAAAAATGTTAAAAAAATCAGTTTTAAGAGTTATAATAAATTGTAGATTTGTATAATTGTTTAATTCTCTGACACTGATAATGGATTAATTGGACCCACTTGATTATATTCTTTATCACACGTAGCAAATTTGAATTATTGTTATTAAACTGTTATTAAAGACTTAGTATTTATTTTTTTTCAGCGTCAGTATCTGTGTTACAGATTTTAGTTCTGTTCTTTTTAGTTGAACTTCTTGCATATTTTATCTTTTTCCTTTTTTTTTTCTTTAATGAGGAAAGAAAAGGAGGAAAGATAAATTACAGAAAATTCAGCTAAAAATAACAGGCCTTTGGCTTCATTTCTGAAAAGTTAATATGGAAAGAAATGAAACATGTTAAAAAAAATTCTTCTATTTTAATAGAAACATGTTAAAAAAAAATTGTTCTGTTTTAGATAGAAAATCCACCTTCTAAAGCATTTGCCCTAGATTGTGGTGCTGGTATTGGTAGAATTACAAAGAACTTATTACTAAAATTTTTTAAACATATAGACCTCGTTGAGCAAAATCCAAAATTTCTAGAGGTAGCAAAGATCTCTCTGGAAAACTGTTCATCGAGAATCGGTCAATATTATCCTATTGGTAATAAATTTATCTAAATATAAAACTGAAGTATGACATACATATAAATATATTCGTCTTTTTTAAGGATTGCAAAATTTCTGCCCTATGCCAAATAAATATGATCTTATATGGTGTCAATGGGTATTGGGACATTTAGAAGATAATGATTTAATAGAATTTTTTAGAAAATGCTCGTGAGTTATATTCTGCTTTATTATAAAGGAAATACAAAGTCTTATTTCTTACCTTGTAATTTGGATTTGCAGATTGAGCCTGAAAGATAATGGTGTGCTCGTGGTGAAAGAAAATATCACAACTTCAAATAATATGGAAATTGACAAGGAAGATTCTTCTGTAACGAGACCAATGAAAACCTTGCGGTCTTTATTTGAAAAGGCTGATCTTATTTGTATTAAAGAACAACAGCAAATCAAATTTCCGCGTGGTTTATATCCGGTTCACATGTTTGCCCTTAGACCAATAAATCAGTGAACTAGTCAATAATGCGCAATACAAATCGAATCTCTGATTGATGCAATCTCTTAGATATCTAAATTGTTTTATTTAATTCTATTTTCTTAAGTTATTTTAGTTCACTTAAAAACAATGTAATTTTATAAAACGAAGGAAGTCAAAAAAACTCGTATATCATACATTATGCATTTTTTTTTACGTAGAAAGAAAATAAATATTAATTCTATAAATTCATTTTATACAAAAATGATGTTGCTTATAATTACAATAAATACACATTTCGCAATCAATTGCGTTATTGCATCATTCAGCAGGAGTAAAGTCCTTTGTTAAAAAAGTAGTTAAGAAATTTAGAGGAAATAGACACAATAGAGAAGCTATCAGTGTCATTTTTCTTGTTTATCATTTTGCTTATTATAGTTATTATAGAAGTAGGATTAAGCTATAAGAAGTAAGCGACAGCACGAGAAAAATATTAGGGCGCCCTGGGATTCGAACCGAAACCTCTTTTCTTTATAATCGAGATACGACCGTGTCTCTAGATTAAACATCCATCTTTGCCTTACAGTATCTGATACCGATAGTTTCTTTGTTGTGCCTATTCCAATAGTTTACTTTGGCCGTATTTTTTCATACATAAAACGCTGATTTACATCTTGAGGGGAAGCATTTATGAGTCGTCTTTTCACAGCATGAAAATGTTCCAAAGCGAAATTATAGAATTCATTTTCCATCTTCCATACAACTGATTGCTGAATTATGTCTACTGTTTCAGGTAGTGGATTGAGTTTTTGTGTAGTTTGTCGTAAGTGTGACTTATTATCTAAAAATCAAAGAAAACATCGATGTCTTTTGATATTATTTTAACTGTGATAATGTAATAAAAGATTATATCATTATAATCTTCTGAAGAATCCCTTCAAATTTATTTATTTTCACAAACACTTACTATGTAAGAAGAAGTTATACGCCCCTCTAAAAATCCGTGGTAATACATTCTCCAATACTTCTACAAATTCGTTTAACTCCTCCGTTACTCCAACCAGAAAGTAATACCTTTGTAGATTCCGTTTAGCTTCCTCTAATGCCCAGCTATTACCAATTTCCCTGCAAAATAAATAAAGTATACTAATAATGATTATTATATCTTATTGTTCGTTTAAGAAAATACAAAATTGAAGTAAAAGATTTGTTTAAAATGTTCTATTTCTAAAATTATTTTAAAAGAAGAAAATTTACCAACAAGCTGGGTCGTGGCCACATAAAAATGGAATCTGCAGCCACATGTTATTAGGATCACAGTCAGGTTGACCACTATTTATACACTCGTCAAATGTCTAGATAAAATAATTTGATTACACAAATTTATTCCATAATTGGTAATACAGGAAGGGGATAATTTTATATGAAAAATAAATCAACGTAAAATAAATTTGTTTATATATGATACAATTGGAAAGATGATTCTACATGCAAAAAATAAATAAATACAGAATATTTTTCACACGAAATTTTCGAAAATCGATTTTAAATCTTCGCTAAGTACATGTGTCCCGACTTAACACATCTCGCTATAGAGTGTAGACTACTATCTGCTCACGTTTTATTGAGTAATCAAGAATAAATAGAATAGGAATAAATAGAATATTTATGTACAATAAATTTTAGTTTGATTTTATAAATTGCTAAAAATGTTGCTCGGAAACAAAGCCTTATACGAAAAATTTATTCTACGTTTTTGCAACTTATTTTTTCGTATGGACTCGTTACCTTGCCCATTGTGTATCACTAGTTGTAGAATATCCTATATGTGTACATATATATATATATATATATATCCTATACATATATCCTATATGTGTACATACATATATATGTACACATATGTTGCGAATTAATACACGAACCTTTGTATCTCCATGTTTCTTCCTTATAATATGGGGTCTAAAATTATCTCCATATCTTAAAAAGTAATAATATGATATAAATCTGTCTAAAGGTTTCCTCAATAAATTTATGTACAAAGGCATACGTTTAGTACCAAATCTAGAAAATAAAATATTCGGTAAAATAAATAAACATTTATTTTATCTTGCAGAAAAGATATAAACCTTACGCTGTACCTACTTTCCAAAATTTAAAAATGCCATGTGTCCATGGTAAAATGCTGGTTTTATACTATTCCAGTTTGATATGTTGTTTGCAAATTGAACCTGTATATAACATCTGTGTTGAGAATGATAACTCTATCTAAATAAAGTATAGCGTATGTAGGCTTTAATAAAAAAGAAGAAAATATGTAACAAATAAAATATTCAGACTTATTTCTCACATCCGACGTCATATCGTGAGACACAGAAAACGCTTATATCGTATTCTACAGAAAGAATATATTTAAAAAAGTAATAATTATAATAATATATGCTTTTAAATAAGATTCTAATTCAAAAAACTAGAATACTACAACTAAGCAGTACATAAATATTTCTTAATTAATAATAAATATATAATGCACCTGGTTAGCAAAAGTAAGGGTGTGCATGTTATTGGTCACGTTAATGTGGAGCACATGATACTTATTCTGTTTGCACAAGTCATAAACTAATCCCATGAAACTAGTGGATGCTGTTTTTGGTACTCTGTTGTATATCACGACAACATCCTCTAGATCATCCTCGATACCTCTTCGCGCCTCGGCATGTCCATTGTATCTAGCATCGATTCGCGCGACAGCATCATCTGGAAAGAGAATCTTGTTATTTCTGCTCAACTGCGAGCGAATCGAAACTGGCTACATTCGAAGATCTGAACACATACGGAGCGATCTGTAGCTTTCCTCCAGATTGTTTAATCGTTGTCGTAGATAGACTATTACGATGACGAGAATCAGGATCAGAACCCATTGCGCAAATGGCAAGTTCCTCAGTATCATCTTACGTCGTCACTCAAATCATACCTATCACCCGCGTCGGCCGCCCGCGAGCGTGCCGTGTCCAAAGTCGAGTTAACCAAGTCACGAGAGCTCGAAATGTATATACGCCAGGTCCACGCAAGGTATCCTTCCTTTCTCGTGTATATCAATCTCTTCTTTATAAACGCACGCTAATCTTTATACGCCAACGTTCGACTAACAGCTGTCGAATTATAACTGTAACTAATATACTATACAATAAGTACTTTGTCTATGCCGTGGCTATCGACAAAATCGAGTAAAGCTCGATGACTTTTAGGTTAGAAAATTACGCGAAAACTCCTGCGGGCTGTGAATGCGATCCTTCGACATCTTCGAAACTTGATTACGATTGATATTGGTATTGGTATTTCTGCCATTCATTTAGTTGTACGCATAGTTACAGAAGTCGGTAAGAATATGTTAAAATATAATAAAATAAATTATATAACATGATAAATGTATATATATATATATATATACATACAT